CATGATCTGTTTGTTATCTTCACAATTTAGTGAAACATATCCATGCATCTTTGCATGAAAAGTTATAAATATTGATATCTAATTTTTTCTTCGTTTGTGCTGAAAATTTTTTTTCCTTGAACGGATAATATCCTAAGGTTAGATCCGGTTATCCTATTACTAATAATATTATTATCCGATAAAACGGATAATAATACTATTACTATTACTATTACCATTACCATTACTATGGATTATCCGGATTATCTAAAATTATCTTATATGTTCAACCACTTCATTGTAACAATATTACATCATATTATATTGCGTAAAACATTGACGACATATTTTTTCATTCAAGGTAAAAAAAAAAAAAGCTTAAAGCATACTATTTCCAAATATGTCAACTGAAAGAGCTCAAAAAAAACATGCATGTCCCGAAGATGATGACTATATTGATATAGGAAAGCCTAAACAACCTAGTTTAGATGGTATTTTAGAGTAACATACAAAAAACGCGTCTGATAAATTTCTTGATAATACAGTAATAAAGAAAAATTCTGATCATTAAATCTTCAAGTCAAAAGTAAAGGAGGATTTTATTTCCTTCGATTACTTTTCCTTATTATTATTATGTAACATTAGGTAACCCGACTAACATTGAGATGATACAAGACAAATGTTATTATATTAATTGTAATGTTGTTATACACATGTGTTATAATAAAGAGTGATGAAAATACATTTCCTAATTAATTATTAAAGTTTATGTGACGGGATTTTTCATTGCTTCCTTTGATCGTGTTATCCAACGTTGGATGATATTAAGGAAAAAGAAACCCAACTAACATCGAGACAATATAAGACAAAATGTTATTCTATTTGTTTTATTGTGACATTTTGTTATACACATGTTACAATAACAAGTGATGAAAATACTTTTCTTAATTAATTAATAAAGTTTACACAATTTTGCTCCATAATAATGCCTTCTCATTGATTTTTCATAAAACACAGGGTTTAACCTTACCTCATATATATGCTGAATGCCAAGCTTGAGTAGAGCAAACTCCTTGGAAAACTGAAATTTGATTTTCTCAAATAAAATGTTCAAAAAGTACTTTGATCGAATACAAGAGATTGGAAAAATTAATCATGATGATAAAATATTTATTTACTATATATAATATTAACAAAGTAATAGTAGTCTTGGTGATACCAGCGACCTTTTTTTTGGGGGATGGCGCACCGTTCCTTGCTTATAGTTTTTAATAAAATAATAACAACATCATTAATTAGTCTTTCAACTATTGGAATTCATCATTACAGTCAAAGCTCGTTATAGTGTATCTCGTTATAGTGGACACATAATAAAATCTCGTTATAGTGGATCTTTTTTGTTTCCAATGCTAATTAATTTCGCTCGATATAGTGGAAAACATAATAAAATTTCGTTATAGTGGAAAAAAAGAGAAAAATTACATATGGAACCAAGGG